TGGAACTGGATGAGCTTTAAGTTCCCTCCCAGACCAAACCAGTCTGTGGTTCCATGGGTCCCTACTTCACCTCCAGATTTCCTCTGTGGTCCCGAGGACACCTCAGATGTGGCACGAAGACATGTGTGAGAAGATGCTCAGGCTGCCCCAGCCAGGACCACTGCCCCAGCACTGCAGCCGTCGGTCCAAGGGGCCCGTGGTGGCCAGCAGAAGAGAGGAAGTGAAGATCTGGCTCTTTTCCCCAGGCATGCTGCGGGCTCTGGCCCTTCTCTGTCAATATTGGGCCGTAGGCTGACCCGGAGCGCAACTCCTGCCCTTTGCTCTGTTTGCCATCTCCTTCGGGCTGTTTGGTTTCAGTTAATCATCCAGTGAAGGCAAACAGTGTCGGGAAGGGGCAGCATGTCCTACACCTCCTGCCCTGGCCAGGCCCAGGGCACTCGGCTCTGGGGTGAGTGACACCCACCCAGCTCATGGGCATTGGCCACCAGCTATGGACTCCTGGGGCAGGGGGTGCAGAAGAGGAGAAGCAGCTCAAGCTCTGCTCCCTGTGAACACTGGTCAGAATTAGGCAACCTGGGCGAGCGCTAGGGACCCCTTGGTCCTCTCGTCTCCGCAGGGTCAGGGTGGTTTGCCGGGGCTGGAGCAGCTATCTGGGCTCTTTGCAGGCACTGTGGCAGGAATATGAATCCCAAGGTACAAGAGAGGAGACAGGCAGATCCTGGCCCCACATCTGGGCCATGCCGTGCTGTAGGAGCAGGTGAGGGTGAGGAGCTCAGCCTGGCTGCAGGAGGATGCTCACCATCCCTCCTGCACCCCACGCCAGCTCTCTGCGCATCCCCGCTACCACCAAGAGCAGTTGGCGAGCTCCAGGGACATATGGCCGGGCCCTGTGGAGCTGCCCCTCATCCCCCCGGCCCCCCCGGCCATTCTGGGCGGCCCCAGGGCCCGCAGTCTGAAGGTCACACTGCTGCGCAGAGCTCAGAGTCCAGGACCCCACCGGCACACCGAGGCTGAGCGGCACTCTGAAGCCACCGGACACAATGCTTTGGGGTCTCCTTTCTCTCTTCCTTGTCACTGTGGCCAGCGGGACCCCCACCGGGGACCAGGATGAAGATATTCAAGTGCAGGAGAATTTTGAGGCTGAGCGGGTAACGGCAGCTTGTGGTGCCTTTATTCTGGGGGCAGAAGGGATGGGGGAAAGCTCTGTTTTGGTTTCCTCCAGCAAGAAGAGCGACATTCCCTACGCCCACATTAGGCTGTATGGGCCAGGCATCGGGAGTGTGGCCAGGCAGGGGTTGTCCTTCGGGATGTGCTCAGGCCAGCAGACACCCAGACAGGGTGGCTGGAGCCTAAGCAGCCAGGGCAGGCAAATCCCATGGGATGTCTGCGATCTGCCCAGCCTGAGGGGCTGGTGCTAATCCACTTCCTAGCTCCTGTGGCAGCTCTGGCCTGAGCACACAGCACCATCACCCCCAGTTATTCTCTGGGCTATGGATATTTACGCTCTGCAGAAAACCAAATGTCTCACCTTGGAGGAGAGGGCTAGTGGCGAGACATCCCTTTCTTGTCCCTGCAGATGTATGGGAAGTGGTACGATGTCGCTGTTGGCACGACCTGCAAGTGGATGAAGAACTACAAGGAGAAGTTCAGCATGGGCACACTGGTGCTGGGCCCTGGCTCCAGCACTGACCAGATCAGCACTGCCAGCACCAGGCTGCGGTAGGGGCAGTGCTCAAACCTTCCCACCCAGGGGTGATGCATCTCCCAGGGGCTGGGAGATGCAGCACAGGGTTTTCTTGCTCTGGCTGGCACCACAGCCTTTGGAGGGGTTGGATTGGGCTCAAATACCCAGTGCCTTGGGCAGGGGGATTTCAGGGGTCTAGCGCTGGACTTGACAGTGCTGGGGTAATGGTTGGACTTGATCTTAAAGGTCTTTTCCAACCTGGCTGATTCTATGATTCTGTGCCATGGCCTCAGTGTCCCAGACATGATTTTCATGCAATAAACAGCAGAGATGATCACTCTGAGTAGATGATTGTGTTCCTGCTTGCTGCAGGCAGGGTGACTGCATGCACGTGTCGGGAGAGTACCAGAAAACCAGCACCCCTGGCAAATACACCTACTACAACCCCAGTAAGTAACTGGAGTAACTCGCTGCTGCCCTGCAGTGGGGCTGCCGATGGGAGCCAGTGCCAGGCACAGCAGGGGAGGGGGTGCAGGACAGGGCTCAGGAGCCACCCCACAGTTTGGGCCATTTCCAACCAAACTACGGAGTGCAGCTGAGGGCAAGAGGCTTTTCCAGCACTGTCATTGCATAGGTGCGGGACTATGAGATGTTACAGCAGACCCCTCGGGGCCCCAAAGCCCCAGGCCAGGGCAGACTCCCACCAGCCATGTTTCAGGAGCACTGATGGTGTCTCAGTTGTCTTCAACCCTTGGTTTCCAATCCCTTGTCTAAGAGGCTGGTGAGCCTGGATGAAGTCAGGGTGTATCAGAAGTGGCATCCCCACATTCAGCTGTTTTCTTGAATTAGCTGCCTGGTTTCAGCCCCCAGCTCTGGGGCTGTCTTACACTGTCCCATTTCTCCCTAAGGGGCAGGAATGATGTGCCCTGTACGTCTGTCTCCCACAGAATGGGATGTGTCTATCCAGTCCTATGTGCTCCGCACCAACTACGAAGAGTACGCTGTCATTCTGATGAAGAAGGAAAGCAGTTTTGGCCCAAGCACAACCCTGAAGCTGTATGGTACATCTGGCTATGGCACTTGTGGGCAAGCAGGCTCTGGGGTGTGCCAGTGCAGCTCAGAAACCACCCTCAAGGGCTCCTCAGGTCCCTTGACCTTGAGGGACCTGACCATGGCTTTGGAAGTGGTGCCTTGGACCAGATCATCTTTGGCACTGCAGAGGTAGAGTCTTATGGCTCAGCTTAGAGCCACATAACAGAATGAACGTCCAAACCAGTCTGTTGTTTGGGGTGAAGGTGGCGACAGCTGCTTGGAAGAAACCCAGACCATGAAGTGGCAAGAGATGCTGCCTTTCATGGTTGAGAAACATTAAAACTACTTTGTCCAAGCCCTTGGTTGTAATACCAGAGAGGCTGGGAAGGACCAGAAGGCTGGTCTGCAGGTCGGTGAGGGGCTGGGGGCTGCATGCAGCCCCCCTCCCATGCCAACCCCCCTCACAGCCTGTTCCTTTGCCCAGGGAGGAGTCCAGAGCTGCGGGAGGACCTCATTGAGGCTTTCCAGCAGCTGGCTCTGGAGATGGGCATCCCCGCAGATTCCATCTTTGTCCTAGCCAACAGAGGTAACCCACTGTAAGGAACATGCTTCTGCTGCCTGTCACCCCAGGGTGCTGGTGCATTGGGGCTGCTCCTTCTTGGTGTGCAAAGCTGGGGAGATGGGGGGATGGTCAGGATGGAGGGAGGAGAGATGAGAGCTTTTGTAGGCCAAGGTGGGAAGTAGATAAGGCCACATATCAGTCAGGTTTTCCAGGCAGCAGGATCCTTGCTCGGCTGTCAGGTCAATGCACCCCCAAGGCCGTGCTGGGACAAGGGCACAGAACACCCAGAGACACTCAGCACTGCTGCCCATGGCTGGGTGCTCCCAGGACCCCAGGAGCAACATGCTCAGCCTGGGTACCTGAAAGTGTCAGTGTGATGCAGGCGGGTGTGGGGACTTCAGGGTGATGCTCCTGTCGGTGGGAGATGGGAACAGCAAGAAGTGAGAACCCGAGTGGAACTCGGAGGGCCCCTGTGTGTGCACGGCGCAGGCCTGTGGTGAGATGAGGTTGTCAGGACCCCCCTTTCATGCTGCTCATTTCTCTCTGTCACCTGGACCAGGCGAATGCATTCCTGAGGAGACCACGACCGCCCCACAGGTGAGTGGTGCAGCGGGACTCCCTGACGTGGATCATGGCTGGGACATCCCCTCCAGGCCAACCCCCTGGAGAGCCAGTGCCTGGGGCCGAGGCTCTGGGGGCAGGACACCTGGGGGCAGGACAGCTGCTCCACTGCCCACCCAGGATATGCTCTTTCACCCCCACTGACAGGCTTTCCCTGTGAGGATGGGGCGCAAGGCTGCAGGCTGGAGTCCTGGGGGCCAGGAGGGCACCAGGGCTCATTCCCAAGCAAAAGATAACAGCTCTTTCCTACTCTGGTATTTCTCACAGGGTGAAAGATGCTGCATGCAGAGCCTGGTGTCTCCCTGCTCCTAGCCTGCCTGTGGGGGTCCCAGCCAAGCTGTAGATCCCCTCTGCAGGGGTGAGGAGGCAGCTCAGCGCTCCACTGCTCCTTCAGCTGCCATCACTCAGCAACCCCCAGTATCACAGGGCTGAGTTTAGAAAGATTAGGGGAGATTGAGATGAGCTCTTAGGCAGAAGTTCTTCCCTAGGAGGGTGCTGAGGCGCTGGCACAGGGTGCCCAGAGAAGCTGTGGCTGCCCCATCCCTGGCAGTGTTCAAGGCCAGGTTGGACACAGGGGCTTGGAGCATCCTGCTCTAGTGGAAGGTGTCCCTGCCCGTGGCAGGGGGTTGGAACTGGGTGAGCTTTAAAGTCCCTTCCAACACAAAGCATTCCAGGATTGTGGGGGATGATAGGTGGGTCTTCCACAGGAGAAGCAACCCAGTTGACTGGAGAGCAGGTAACACACCACCTTGCATCAGCAAGAGCAGAGACATGTCCCCAGCACAAGGGAATTACTGGGGCACTTCGGGTATCTATCCACAACACATGACCCTGGCCACTACTCAGGATGAGCACAGGGCTGGAAAAGCCACGAGGTGCAGGGCAATCACAGCCTCTTG